CATTTTTTTTATCCATTCATCTACTGAAAGGCATCTAGGTTGGTTCCACAATTTAGCTATTGTGAATTGATGTTTTGCTTCTATTATCTTTCTCCCTGTGCTGCTTTTCTCCCTTTCTCTCAGTTGAAGTTCACAGGTCTAGGGACTTATGTAAATACTGGAGACAAGAGTGATTAGTAAGTACTCAGATACTGGAATCAGACATGGACCTTGAGTTTAGGTTCAAGCAATATCTTTTTTTGGCTGCATTGACCTTAAGCAAGTCACTGAGCTTTTAAGCCTGTTTTTTTTATCCCGAGCAGGTGAATTTTAATAGCAAATTTAATGAGGATTTAATGGCATGTAGTAAGTTCCAATAATTTTTTTTAACTATTATAATCTTTTATCCCTTGGGAATATAACTTGATTAGGCATAATGTAAAGTAAGCCAAAATACAAATTGCTTACCTTAACAAAAATTTTAGATGACTCCAGGGGTCCATAAAGAACTATCAAATAGAAGAGCCATCTTCTGGGCATAATGGTGCATGGCTGTAATACCAGCTACTTAAGAGGCTGAGTCAGGAGGGTTGCAAGTTCAATAGCCCCTCCTGGGTAACTTATCAAGACCTTATCTCAAAAATTAAATATTAAAGGGGGGAGGCTGTGGCTTAAAAAAAAAAAAAAAAAACCAGTGGTAGAGCCCTCTGGTTCAATCCCTAATAGTACAAACCAATCAACCAACAAAGAAGTCTGTTGATAAGGCAAAAAAAAGATTTGTCTAGGAGTGTGACTTTATGAGTATCTACATATGCTTTTGTGGACATATGTATATATAAAGTTTTTAATACCTATATCTATATTGCATTAGGTCTATGAAGGGAAAGGGTAGGGAATGTTTAGAACTTAACCATAATTAGGAGGCAAGATGAAAAAGAAGGTAGGTTTTTGGGGCTTGATTGTTTTTTTACTACAGTGGGTATATTTCTTTGTAAAACCTGCAAGCCAACTTTTTATAAGTCAGTTCATGTACTGAGAAAGCTCATTTAAGAAACCCTATTTATAAATTTGTTTTTAAAGCAAATCTTTGTTTCCCAACCCCCTTTCTGTGTTAGAAACTAACTTTTCTAACATTGTAGCAATGTTTCCTAAGAAATGCCAGTTATCTTGGGAGGATACATTGCATATGGTTATCTTAACAATTCAAAATCAAAGTGCTGTATCAAGTGAAAGGGCATAACTTTGTTTTAATATTTCAGGGAAATTAAGGCAGTTACTATAAGGGTTGAATGTGTTGTTCTGTGATTTTTTTTTTTTTTTACTAAATCCCATGCTTATGATATTATTGTCTGGAGAAGTAAACTTTAATTTCAATCTATAATTTTAAAAGTTTATTTTTTAAAAGCAAACAATATGTGTTCAAAGTACAAAATTCCAAAGACGCATAGTTTAAGCATCAACAAATGATGGTCCTTGCCACCTAGTTGCTCTCTTAAAGACAGTCCTTTTCTTTATCTCAGATTCAGTGTGACTGCTTATTTCAGGTTTCCATTAGAGTGGAGGAGGCAGTTCACGGACTAGGAGGACTTGAAGCACTTCCTCATGGCCTGTCTTAGGACATTTCTGGAAACATAACTGTCTGGATGTGAAGATTAGGAGATAAGAGTCGAGAGCTAGAATGGAAAGAACCTCTAGGAATTTTAGAGGAGCAGAGGTTTGGCACAGGGCAGGAGGGCATCCCCTCTAGCCTGTCACTGACACAGGCAGTGACTGACACTGATTACTGTTTTCTTTGTCATCTTTGCTCAACAGCTTAATCTTTTGATCTGATCTTTCTATATCTTCAAGTAGGACTGACTTTTCTCTCTCTTGTTTTAATATGACGATAAGTGAAGTCGCCTATTCATTTATTTATTTTTTTTTTTGAGAGAGAGAGAGAGAATTTCAATATTTATTTTTCAGTTTTCGGCGGATACAACATCTTTGTTTGTATGTGGTGCTGAGGATCGAACCCGGGCCGCACGCATGCCAGGCGAGCGCGCTACCGCTTGAGCCACATCCCCAGCCCGAAGTCGCCTATTTAAACAACCAGAACTTACACTTCATTAGCTTCATTATATACTCAAGTTTAATTTCCAGTTGCCTATGATGATAACAGAGGAATTTTAATTGCTCATTCTGTTTAGCATCCTTCTGTTCTATTCCTGTTCTTTTTAGAAATTCCAATTCTTGCCTTTTCTTCTTCTTTGTTTTCTATTATAGGGCCTTTTTATTTAGCTTAAAAGAAAAAAAACAGAAAAGAATTTCACTAGCAGAAATGGTAATTGTAGTAGGAGGCTTATTTTAGACAACTGGAAATCAAGATTGGGCATGTATTGGCAGCAGTAGATCAGAATAGGCATTTGATCTTCCAATATGACATTCTGATTTTTTATACTAAAATAAGATTAATCGAGTTAATTAAGCATGAGAAATAAAATATCTTTTCCTGCTCATGAAATACACAGAGGGGATTGTTTCAGTCTTCTTATGCCTTTTAGTTTTCACATAATCTTTTGCTAAGTGGGTCTGAGATTTTTATCTTGGAATCTTTGTTCTAACCACCATATTACAGTTCGAGATTATTCTATTTATGCCGTCATTATCTTTTACATAATAATGGATAGTATCTCTTTATTTAACTTTAAGGCAAAATCATATAGTAGAATAATCTTCAGGCTATGCATATAATGTAGATATTAAAACCAGTAGCTAAATTATAGCCACTACGTTTTTTGAAGCTAATGAAGTATAAGTTCTGGTTATTTCAAAACTCCATTTCTCAAGTTTTTTTTAAAATTTTGTTTTCCCTCTTTGGTACAAGGGATTGAACTCAAGGGCACTCAACCACTGAGCAGCCACATCCCCAGCCCTTTTTTATATTTTAGAGACCAGGGTCTCACTAATTTGCTGAAGCTGGCTTTGAACTCTCGATCCTCCTGCCTCAGCCTCCCAAGTTGCTGGGATTACAGGCGTGTTCCACTGCGCCTGGCTGGGTTGACATTTTTTGAGAATAATTTCTCTCTCTCTCTCTCTCTCTCTCTCTCTCTCTCT